GTTCTTATTTTGAAAACGATTCAGCATTTCTTCCCAAACATTTCCGACGCAGCAGCTTGACAGCACTAGGTAGCCTCCCTAGTTGGCTGTATATAAAGCCACGAGAAACAGAGCCACGAGGCAAGGGACCTCTCACCCCTCCCGTTTCCCTTCCCTACCTCGGTTCAAATCACCCACGCCGCCTCAAACTCGAGCTCGAGCCCGTCGGAGAAGCTCCTCCTCGCCCACCGTCGCTCTGACCGATCCATCGTCATGTCTCCCGTGGTAGTCGACCCATCCAGGGCCTCGGCGTGGGGTCTTTGATCCGAGCGACGCCGGCACAGACGATCGACGGCGCGCCTCCCCTTCACCGCAGGTAAGAAAGACTGCTGCTCCTACCTGATCTGATGAAGCTCAAACTGTTCTGTTCTTGTGAGCCGTGAACTTGGTGCTTCTAGTCGCCGCCGATCGCCGTGGCCAGAACCAGATGCGCTTGCTTGCTAGTTCTTGCTGATATTCCATTTCCTTCTTGTTACCGAAGCTGAGGCGCGCTGGAGTCCTTTAGCCCCAAACATCAATCACTTGGCAATCGCATGGTGGTAAATTCACAGCCGTGAAAACACCAGCCAGGTACTAGCATGAGACATGACACATTTGACTAAGATTCCCAGCACCATGGCTGCCAAAAACTCCAAAGGGCGATGTAACTTGCTGCTATTTTCACATGCAACAAAGCGAGAGACGCACATGCGGCTCTTAAATGCCCAGTAGGAGTACAGCAGTACTAACTGAAGTTGGAGTAGAGGTTGTCGAGTAGCTAGGCCAAGCACATTGGTATCGTTATTTCATGCAGCCGCGGAGGGAAAAGAAAACAAACAAATGGGCGATGTGCCTCCGCAAGTGTGATATCCTCGGAGATCTAGCCACTGATCTGAAACGATGGCAGGGCTGCTGCACACACCCATGCACGCAGAGGAGAGGAGTCAGGAAACCTCGGCTCGGTAGCGCTGACACGAGCTATGCGGTGATCCACGGTGTGAGCGTTAAAACTCTTCTCTTCTCGTCGTCAAGAGTATATATACTGCCATATGCATGGATGCATTTCTGTCCTCTTTCGATCTTCATCGCTAGGGAATGGTCGAGTTCATCTCTAGGGATCAGGGAATGGTTGAGTTCCCGGGTGTTTGACCTCGAGTGCTCATGCTTGCGTAGCCAGTAGCCTCGCCTATTTCCTATGCCGCCAACGCCTAGCAGAATCTTTCCGTCTCTTTCATGATGGCAATAGGCCAACGCGTATACGCGGATATACTCTACCCCCAGACCATTAAGAATTCTTGAGATGGAACTTTATAACTACTATGCCTTTTTCCAAAGGAAATATATATATACAAGAGTAGTAGTATAGATGTGTGTGCGCATTGCTTTCAGACAAACCACACCCATAAAAATAGGATACCCTGAACTGAAGGAGCTTGTCAGGAGTAGGTGCCAAATATCCAGTCCATTGCTGACATCACAAGACTTTAGGACGGCAAAGCTATGAAATTTTCGGACGGCGTACCTTTTGCCGCTTCCTTCCTAATCATGCCTCCTTTTTGGTAGATTATGCCCTAATAAACGCTAAATAGTGGAGTAATAAAATAGGAGACCTGTCCTCTTTCATGTACAGTACTCCCTCCGTTCCTAAATGCAAGTCTTTTTAGAGATTTCACAACAAACTACATACGGATGTATATGAACATATTATAGAATGTAGATTCACTCATTTTACTCCGTATGTAGTTCATAGTGAAACCTCTAAAAAGACTTACATTTAGAAACGGAGGGAGTATGTCCTATGGAGATGTTTCGTTTCTTTCTAACAAAGAAAGCTACTGACGGCTTCAAACTACTAGTATAAAATTAAAAATTCAGACAGGGCCCCCGTGGACCAGTTTGTGGTAGCGTACTAAAACTAAATCATTGGCATTAGAAGAATTGAGGTTGCTTTGCTTAACCAGGTCGAATGTACATTAAACATGAACGAAGCGTGCAAACTTGGCCGTGCCAATAATCATCTACTACCTGAATGCAATAATTCGGGGACAAGGACACAGCAGGGTTTTGCACTGCACCGTATTTAATTGTCGCCTGATGCGCACCACAGTGGGATTGATGGCGACCCTCGTCAGTTTGGTTACGTGGTACCGTACGTACTTATATCATAATATCGTCTCGTAGTAATGCTTTAGGTGTACTTGGAAGCTGTTGTTACTGTTTGGTTAATGATGTTTTGGGTGCTCAATCAATCATGTACTGTATGTAGAGACAAATCACAACATAGTATCAGATATTGATATTCAGATTCCTGCAACACAACCTTCAGAGCGCCTACGCCCCCGACTCCCGTGCCGCTCCCGCGGGCGGCCCGGGAGTTAACCCTAGCCGCCGCCGCCAGTTCCTCACCTCCGGCTCTTCTCCCCTCGCCGCCGCCGGCATGGGTCGCCGGGCAAAGCCCGCGCGGCCTGGCGGCGGGGGGGCCCTCTCCACCTCTGTTTCGGGGCTTCGCGGCGCGGGCCGTTGGCCTCGGCGGGAGCGTGTGGGGTCGCTCTGCTCAAGGCAGCGCGGCAAGACGGCGGCGCGGCATGTCGACGGCGCGGCGCAGGATGGCCCTGGCGCGCAGGTCGCGACGCGGGTTGGTTTTGGCGCGCAGGTCGTGGCGCGGACGTGAGCGGATCTGGCGCCTGGAGGGTTCACGGTGGGCGGGGCGTCTGCGCCTGGCCTGGAGGGCGCGCTGTGGTGCGGCTCGGCTGCGCATGGAGGTGCAACGCAGGCGTGGGAGGTCTGGGCGGCCCAGATCTGGCGAGTGCAGCGGCACCGGCTTGGGCGTCGCGGCCCCCTCTCCCTTCCCTTGACGGGATCTGGCACGCGGAGCTTCTGGCGGCGCGGCGCGCCTAGGCTCTGGCAGCAGCCCTGTTCTGCGGAGGTGGCGGTGGTGGGTTGCTTCGTCCGGTGGCAGGCGCCCTTGGGGTGCTCACGGCAGGGTGTGCGGCGGTTGTCCCCGAAGCCTTGCGCGGGGCGCAGCAGGATGGAGGATGCTGGTGGTGCATCGACTCTGGCGGTGGCGGCGGTGCGAGCGCAGCCATGGCGGCGGCGGCGCTGCGAGGCCTGGCCAGGAAGGGACTTGGCGGGCAGCGGGCGTTCGGCTGCTGCCGTGTGAGGCGTGCGGCGTGTGTGGGTGCCGGAGTGTGGTCGGAGGTGCGGGTTCTGATCCATTCTGGTGGCAGTCCCCTGGCGCGGGTGAAGGCCACTGTGGCGGATCTGGCTGTGCACCACTCGGTGGTTGCTGCGGTTCCTAGTCGAGGTTGAAGGTGATGGCTTTAGACGTGTTCCCTCGGCAGTGAGGGGGGCTTCGATGGCAAGTTGCTGCGGTGACGGCGGTGTGAGGCATTTGATCGGGACTGGCCGGGATCTTTGGGACGTGGAGGTGTGCGGTGCTACGGATGAAAATCTTGTTCGGTTGTGGCCGGACCGGCGTTGATGGCACCTACGGGTGTCATTCACCTTCCCGGAGGCTTCGCCGAGTGCAACGCCATCTTCCTCGCGACCTTGTATCGGCAGCTGTCTCTGGGGCGAAAGCCTTGATTCGTAGAATCGGCATGATGGCAACGTCCTTGAGGTTGTTACTCTATTGGGAGCATTGTGCTCGGAGACTCGAGGTCCCATGATGCGCTCCTCCGGCGTTCACCGCTGCCCAGATCTTTCTCCTTCGGCACCATGTACGGTCGTCGCCGGCTTATCCAAGGAAGCTGGAGTTGCTGTTCTTCGAAGGTCTTCAGCATCGGCCGAGACGCGGCAAGGGGTTCGGTGTAGGGCAGGCATTTTGTGTCGTAGTTGTGTTGTGGTGGTTTTGGTTGTCCTTGTTCGATCCAGGTGTGGAGTGGGTCGCCTTCGTTGTTCGCAGCGACTGGTTGACGTTGTTGTATGTCTCATTTCTCTTCTTCTATAAAGCTAAGGTACGCAATTTGCATACCCTCAAAAAAAAAATATTCAGATTCCTCCTGGTCCGACATGTTCCATCCAAGCCACTCAGGCACGTACTCGTAGTACCACCTCCAGCTCAGCCTCGTCGTCCAATAATGAAACAGAGGAGGAAGAAAAGAAAAAACACAGTCGTGGTCTAGAGGAAACAAAGCGTGAAAGAAGGCTAGGGCATTATTTGGAGTTGGACCCGTCTTTATCATCATCTGGTGTACTTGTCACAAACAAAGCAACCTGTCCAATCCACCACCCAAAGGGAGGGACCCCAGGCCTTTGAATGGCTCGTATCTGTGCCAAGCAACAAGTAAACGTACCTAAAGGCCGGCAGTTACTGCGGCCCGGCCCGGCCCGGGCCCCCACACGCGAAGCTGCAGGCAGGCAGGCAGGAATCGGGCAAGAGATCCATGGCGCGTACGCCGCTGATGCCTGCTACAGTTTCCGGCTGTACCCGTCCGACGTGTCTGCACAGTAGCCAGACCGGAATGGGAAGCCCCACTCCACGCACCCAACACAGCTGCTCCTACGTCCCCGCGCAAAAGCGAAAGGCACGCCACGCCACGCCACCACAGGGAGAAACTCCTCATTTTGAAACTCAGCGGGCTGTTTTTTTGTTGCTGCTTGATCATGGAGTTTATGAGATTTATTAGCGTCAAAGTATATGCACGCATATTTTATCGCTGTGAGCATCTTTGTGAAACTGAGCGGGCATATCATCTTAAATCTTAACAGGTATGCCTCGCTACTGCCAAACTTTGGTTTTCTATTTCAGGCGGACGCATTTACTGGCATGTGTCCATGTCCAGAGGCTTAATTTACAGCACGTGCCTGTCTACATTGCCAGTTTGCTGGCCACTGTGCTCAATCGCCTTTTTATTTCTTCCCAAACACCGCTCTCGCGCAAAAACACCCCGTTTCAATTGCCACAAGTATTACTTTCGTCGTGATGCCATGACCCATGTCGGCCATTTCCTCGGCTCCCGTCGCCTTGCTCACCTCTCACAATGGACAGGCGGCATGAGGCGTTGACCGGTCGGAGCGGCCGGGGGCGCTGTGCTGGCTCGATGTCGCGGCGCCACGGACGGTTCCACCACGGCGCCGGCGGCGGAGACGGGGACCAAGGCGCTGGGCCGGCCGTGGTCGACCACGCGGACTGCACTGCGCAGTCGTGCCGCTCCTGCGTGGCGGTGTCGCTGGCGGACTGCATCGCGCTCGGCTGCTGCCCGTGCGCGGTGGTGAGCCTGCTGGGGCTGGCGCTCGTCAAGGCCCCGCTCGCCGTAGGCCGCCGCTGCGTGCAGCGGCTGCGCCGGCGGCATGGGAAGCTGCAGCACAAGAAGCGCGTGCGCGACATGGACCTTGCGGGCGGCCGCCCTGGCCCTAGCGCCGCTGGCGCCAAGTGTGCGGGCGGGGGCGGCCACCGGGAGCCTGGTCCCGGCGAGGCCGCGTCAAAAGGTGAGGACGACGTGGCGACGGCGGCGTATCAGGGCGCGGCCGCGAGCGAGGAGGAAAGGGTGTGGCTGGAGATGTACCAGGTGGGGCAGTGGGGCTTCGGCCGCTTGTCCTTCTCCGTGAACCCGCCTCCGAAGGCCGGCCGCAACGCCGACGGCGACGGCTGCGAAAGCGACGTGTGAGATGGCCAAACCGTCCGCCCGCCGATGCTTCGCTGCTTTTCCGTACGGTCTGTCCCTGTCGCTGAGGCACGGACGGCGCGCCGGCGACAAGTCAGAATTCCATCGTGCTGGCCGTCCGGCATTCGCATTTCTCTGGCCAAAAGCCAAGGGGGAGCAGAGCACCGAGAAATACTTCCATGGCTCGCTGATGTCCAGCTGATGATCCAACGCAAAAATCGTTGGGGATGATTAGGAGAAGCGGCAGCATGGTGTCCTGGTCGACTGCTTGGGAGCCTCGTGATCATGTGCTCCCTGCTAGAAGAGCTCAATCACAATGGTGAGCCGGGACAGGCCTTCGGCTCCTGCCTTGTCGAGTGTTCATTCTTTCTTCTGTGTCTATGGGTTTGGGGAGCTCGATTTGTACTTATGAAAATTGTACATAATTTGTGCCTTCGAGGTCTCTAGATTTCTCCCTTTGGGAATCCCCTCCCTGTATATATTTCCGGGAAAGATTAAGAGTTCTTTTTTTTTAGCATCAGTACAGACACAAGCGCTAATATACATGCGCATACACTCATCCTTATGAAGGCACACACGCACACCCTACCCCTATGAGCACCTCCGAGAGACTGAGCCAGCATATCATTTTGAGATTTACGAAGTCACCATAGGCGCCTCGTCGTCGATGGGAACGTCTTCTCCCACTGAAAACGCATTGCCGAAAATCCTGAAATAAATCCAGAAATAATGGGAGCACCAGGATTTGAACCCTGATGGGTTGGGGATACCACTGTCCACCTAACCATCTTAACCACAGGTTGATTCACGAAAGATTAACAGTTCTGGTTCGTACTACTATGTGGGAATTTGCCACTACGCGTTTCACCGTGAAAAGTGGTTGTTATGGCAAGGCAACATTTGACAAAATCAGTTCCGTTGAAGGTTCGAAATAAAATCAGTTCCATTCCATTAGCCTGCTGCTTAGGAAATGGGTGCCTGCGTGCAGTAGATTTAGTGTTCAGAAACGTGTGCTGGACTATGTGCAGGGATTTTTTTTCTTTTCTTTTGAGAAGGGGAGTACCCCGGCATTATGTTCAGAGACTAGTGCTATGGCTTTAATCATGTAGGGAAACCGGGTACCTGAGTTTCATCGTTTCCTCAGCCAGAGTACGAAGGTAAATGAATAATAATTTGTTTTGTACTCCCTCTGTGAACTAATATAAAAACGTTTAGATCATTAAAATAGTGATCTAAATGCTCTTATATTAGTTTACGGAGGGAGTATGTTCTTTCGAGAACACACAAAAGACTTGCGTATTACTCGAATGAAGGGGTATAATGCAAGACTGGTTTTACAAACATCCGCGGAATACGCCAACTTAGGTGAATTCAATTCAGTATCCCCAATGGAAAACATTCAGTAGGGAGGTGACCCGGTAAGGCGGTAATTCTGTCTTATTTGAAACTTCTTTATACGGGCTTGGAACAAAAACGAGCAATAGGCCTTTTTTACAGACGTGCCAATTGATGGGCCGCAAAAAGGAAAACGTCTTTTGCTGGAAAGAATGTGTTTTTAAAGGAAGCAGTGTTTCACAACATGCTTTGCAAGGGGCGTATCCTCGGGTTCGTACGTTTCGATCTTCAGTTCACACCCTTTTTTTGAGCAAAGATAGATTGGCTTTATTGATCATTAATAATGTTTACAGGAGTAACGGTTGGATCATGAGGTGTGCTCAATCATAGATGTCTCCATTGAGGGAGAGAAACACCAAGCCTAGCTATATTTTGAGCTTCAAAATTGGAAACTCGAGGTTCAAAGGAGAAATTACATGACGTAAATACTCTAACAGATTCTAAATCTCTTTGATAATGCCGCCATAATTTCCTCCAATGTCTTGGTGAATGTGATTGACGACCTGTTTGTAGTCCGAAGCTACGTGAATATGTTGCATTCCTAGGTCTTGTGCAAATGAGAGCGCTTACCTGCAAGCAAGGGGCTCCAATGTGGAGGGATCTACCAGACCCTGGATGACCAATAAAGAAGAACCCAAGTAGGAGCCATCTCGATCACGACATATGGCAGCAACAGTGCCCACATTGTGATCAAATGAAACACCCGTGTCCACATTTATCTTAACATGTCCTCCCGCTCGTGGAATCCATCGCCCCCTAACCTGAGCTGGTGGAGCGCATGATATCGCATGTGTCTCGGGGGGCACGTTGAGCTGGTCTAACTCAAATACGAACTTTGTGACATATGTGGAGCATATAGACTCTGATTAATCCCCTTGTGTATGAGTTTCCTTCGTGCAAACCAAAGTGTCCGTAGAGTGAAAGACATCTGAATTCTCGCTAACTCATCATACTTTAAAACCTCCATCATGGAGAAAAGCTAGCTTCTCGCTAACGGTTCCGTCGTAGCGATCATATGTTACAGTAGGTCATGGTCTACCAATGCCCAGACGCACCGTGCCATAGTGCATTCTAGTAGGTTGTGTTTTCAAGAATCTTGCGCTCCACATACAAAGCACTTATCATGGTGCGACATTTTTCTCTGCTTTCAGACGTCCTCAGTTGGGAGCGAGTTCTTTGCTAACCTCCAAAGGAAAACTTCAATTTTCGCTAGCACTACAAAATGCCAAAGTGTAGACCAAAGTTTTTTTCATTTTCAGTATTATTTGATGAACAAGCCCGCTCTTCCAGCCAGTCTTCTCGCCGCTTCTTAATGGCAAAAAACCAAGCGAACGAAAAAAATTCCCATTCTTTTCAACGTTCCATGACCAAAAGTCGTCCATAGCCCGCATGCAAATAGGAATCTGAAGAATAGCAGTTGCATCAAAAGGTAGAAATACCAGTTCAATTAACTGTGAATTCCATCTTGCATTTTTCCTTGATCCAATAGTTCCGACACCAAATGTGGCAGCTGAGAATTAAAGATATGATGGGCCTTGTATTCTCTCTTCTTGGGATCCAATTCATGTTCAATATCTGCACACTAGAGCCCATTCTGATCTGCCTAATTAGGCCCATTTTCAAAGTGTCAATACCTCCAACACCGATCGCTAAATTTGAGAAACATGGCTACCAAGTTCAGCAGAGAGAAAAGTCAGTGTTGGGGTAATACACCGCTTTTAATATCCTCGCACTCAACGAATCTGGGTTTTGTAATATTCTCCATGCTTGTCTAGCCAAGAGAGCTACATTGGAAATTTCAAAGTCCCAGAAACCCAGGCCTACCATATATTTCAGTCTACTCATTGTGTCCCAAGAAACCCAGTATGGTTTGCGATGATCTTTCCTGCTTCCCCACCAAAATGCTTTGATCATAGAAGTTAATTGTTGGCATAGCCCCCTAGGGAGTTTAAGCAGGACATTGAGTACACAGGGATAACTTGGGCAAGTGATTTGACTAATACCTCCTTAAGAGCCGCCGACAGGAGTTTCTCCATCTGCCGGTGTCAAAACTGGCGGATCTCGGGTAAAGGGTCCCAAACTGTGGACCTTGGATTGGTAGGGAACACTGGACGTGGGACACGATGTTTACCCAGGTTCGGTCCCTCTCTAAGAGGTAAAACCCTACGTCCTCCTTGATTACATTACTTGTGTATCAGGGGATTATAGAGTAGATCTACGACAAGATCAGACAAACTAAACCCTAGCTAGTAGGATGGTTATTGTTCTTCTAGCCTCTACGGACTAAGCCCCACACTCCAAGGCACAAAATGTCTTTGGTTCAGATATGGTGTGGCCCAGTAGTCCGGCCCATAAGAGATAGGCTGGCCTCCCAAGGACCCCCCTAATCCAGGACTCCCTCGGTAGCCCACGAACTAGCCTTCAATGTCGGCTTCTTATAACTCCCAAGACTGCAGGCTCTGGCTTGCATGTGAGTTCCTTTTTCCCGAGTACTTGGAACGACTCTCCTCCTTCGAATGATACTTGATTATGTTCGGCCATACGTCGAGTCGTATCCGAATTCCGAACTATCTGCTTCTCTTAGCCTTTATGGCCAATCGTTCGAATGCGAACAGTATCTTTGACTGACAACTTTAGGCGAAGGGTCGTGTCTGGTCATAAACATGAAGACTCGATGCGTGACACGAGGCCGCTCCTTTGATGACACGTCCCTTCAAGGTGGAGATCGTGTTTCGTTTTTAAGGTATTTGATCAATGATTCACAGTATCCCACTCGCGCATAACGCTACGAGTATATCGGGAAGAGGCGAGGTGGGTGACACATTTACATGACTCTTGGTATCACAACCATCTATAAAAGGTAGTAGCTACAATTATCTTCATGCGCTTTCTTCCTCTTTCTGTCGTAGCCTTTCCCAATCTTCAGAGCTCCAGTGCCCTGGTTCAAACCTCCACGGAACTCCCCTACCCGCACTTGGTGATGGCCGGATCTAGCATGGGAGGCAAGTGGAAGGCCTCGATTGTCACCAGTAAAGACATCAAGGATTTGAAGCATGCCGACTATCTTCCGGCCACCATCGTCCACCAGGCCTCACAAGCAGGACAAGCTATCCCCACACTGTAGCCTGGTGAAAGGGTAGTGTTCGTCCCCCACTTCATCCGGGGGATAGGCTTCCCCCTCCATCCTTCGTACGAGGGTTGATGTTCTTTTACGGATTAGACTTCCATCATCTGGCCCCAAATTCCATCCTCAACATCTCAGCCTTCATTATCATCCGCGAGGCCTTTCTATGGGTCCCTCCACACTTTGGCTTATGTCTAAAAGTTTTTAATGTGAAACCGAAGATCGTGAACGACCAACAAGCGGATTGTGAGGGGGGGGGGGCATGGTGGGCAAGCTGACTCGCGTTGAGTGGCTGGTGGGGACATTCATAGACACCCTCAACATTTGGCAAACAGAGTGGTTTTATATCACGGAACCACGCGATGCAACTTGGGAGGCAGACCCCGAGTTCAGATCCGGAGCACCCACGAGGCTAACCTCATGGACCAAAAAGGGCCTTGACTGGGGGCTACCTGGAGAGGTGGAACTACTGCAGAAGCGCAGT